GAACATTTGTGTAACCCTCTGCTTGCTAGTGGCACACCCGCTTTGTTTGGGGTGAAATGTTTAAAAAAGAAAAGAAAACAGTATCAATTTGTGTTCTGTTGAATAAGTTTGTAACTGATTTTATTCCTTTGTACAAGTTTTACAACGCTTTAAATGCCAATGACAACATTTAAAATTAAATAAAGAATAGTAAAAAAAGAGTTACAATTGTATAAATCCATGTAAAGAAATGCATTCAGGTGTAAAAATACTTAATAAATTTCACACTGATGTATAACCCAGAATCAACTTTTACTTCAATGTAAAACCAATTAAAAACATTAACTTATGTGTAAAAGCACAGAATTTTTATGAAAACAGATCCCAAATTTGACGCCTATATAAAAGCAGCAAACAGTTTTATTCTAGTGTAAAAGCAATTGACAAGATTTTTTTTCTTCATTATAAAGTTTAGCAAAACGTGTCATTCCATTTTAAAACATAGCAACAAACTTCCTTTGATGTGGTATGTAATGGGTGACATGTGAAAAATTTCAGCGCAAATTTATACTAGGTTGATTTAAGAATAAGAATAAAACATAATTTAAGAAAATAAAAAAAAAAACATTTTTAATAACACTAGAAATTACTACCATGTGGGCTAACTGGTCATTCAGTCGCCAAATAACAGACGTTATTCTGTGAAATGTTTTAAAGTTGACACTTCAGTGATAAAAGTCAACACGGCTCGAGGTCACGACAGGCTTTCATGTGTGAATGCGATCGAGCAATGCTAGTTCTGATCCGCTAAGTAAATAAATGATGGAGGACTTCTAATTCGAGAGGGTTCGGGAGAAATCTGGCCTTTTCTGGAAGACCCTACGTGATCCTAGAAGCCTCCCGGGTCGGAACCGGAAGTGTTCCATCACACAAAAGGGGAAATATAAAAGGAAGAGTTTGCGAGGGAATTGTGGGGACGGCAGAGTTTCCTGGCGTGTTTCGATGAGGCAGTTGGGTTTGTAAGCGAAACGTACGAACTGACTCGGGGTCGGTCGGTTGCGGACGGGATATAGATGTCACCCATGTAGAGAGTAGTATGATAATCTGACGCTAGGACCGCCATTATTGCTCTCATTGTCTCTCTCTCTCTCTCTCTCTCTCTCTCTCTCTCACTTGATAATTCAAGAGGGCGGAAAAATAAACCAGGAAAAAATCAATCGAAGACTTAAACAAATTTGCGTTCGCATATTTTTTATAAGTTGCAGCCACGGAATTTAGTGCCGTTGCAAGCGACCACGCCACACGTATTTTAGAGCAATGAGTGGCATTGCTATAGGTGTAAATGCAAATATCAAGTTTTATTACAGAAAACACAAATAACAAATCTGCGCAAAAAACAAGTCTATTGTTTTGAAAAAAGGAAGTAAACAAATTCTTCTCATGCTTAAAATTGCTAACAATTTTAAAACGATGTTCAAGCAAATAATTTGTTTTACTGTGTAAAATGGCATCAGTTTTTTTTTTTAATTATATTAAAACTGTACCTAAAATGTTTTACTGTGGTGAAATGCTAATAACAGTATTTACTCTTGTAAACCTTCCTTTTACTTCAGTGTAAAAGCATATGAAGATTCTTTCGTAATTCTGGTATAAAGGAAATTACCAAATTTTATTACAGTGTTTTTTCTAAGAAATACATTGCAATGATATTAAACATTTGCAATCCTATTATGCTAATACGTATATTTCGAATTTATGATTCTTTTCATGTATACATCAAAACGATGTCGAAGCAAATAAAAATTTGTACGCCTGTGTAAAATGGATTAACGTATATATATATATATATATATATATATATATATATATATATATATATATATGTATGTATGTATATATATATTGCCATCCATAGGCAGACTGTTTCACTGTATCACAGCTCTTCAGCGTAACTCAGACATCGATTCCTTCAAGCCAGGATCTAAACCAGACCGATTTGGCATCAGTCAGAGATCTAATATATATATATATATATATATATATATATATATATATATATATATATATATATATATATATATATATATATTTGTGTGTGTGTGTATGTGCGCGTGTGTGTGTGTGTGTGTGTGTGTGCGTGTGTATGTGCGTGTCTGTGTATATATATATATATATATATATGACACCAAAATGCTGAAACAAAATGACTATTATTGTAGTGATTTTAAAACATATTTATATAATAATTTTCGAATAAATTACTCACAACACGCACACACACAACATATATATATATATATATATATATATATATATATATATATATATATCATATATAATGTATATATATATATGTATATCAAATATGTGGTGAGTCCAATTTATATTGCAATGAATCATTCATACAAAAAGTAGATAAGTAAAGTTAATGATATAAAATGGCGAAATCCCTTCGCTAACTAAATTTTAAAGGTGCTCCTTCTAATTTGTAGGTTAATGCACCTTTAACATTTTATCAGCGAAGGGTTTTTGCCATTTTATATCATCGTAATAGTTGGTTTCATTATTTTCTGGCTTTAAATAACACGCAAAGTGTTCATAATCCCTAGAAAACGAATCAATCAATCAATTAAAATGATTACTCTGCTGCAAAAGCATCTGATTTTTTTTTCTTTTTTGTTACTCTGGTGTAAAAGAAAATACAAACCTGTTCTACAGTGTCTTACTGAGAAATAATTTGATATGATAATAAGCATTTTCTATCATCCGACGCTAAGACGAAAGCTTCTAATTTATGATTTTCTTTAAGCAAACATCAAATTTGGTCGTTATAACTTAAACTATTAAGAATAATATTTTTTGAATTGTTTCAAATGATAATCTTTTCATATCTTAAGCTTACTGCACAAATCGCAAAATTTAATTATAGAATAACTGACATTTTTAAAAGATATCGTTTATTTTATACCGTTTATTTTATACCGTTTAGTAATGCAAATAACAGTAATCGTCTTACGAATTATTTGGCTTCATGTTATTGTTATTCTTCTTCCTCTCTCTCTGAAATTAATTTGTCTTTGATATTAGAATTACGAAAATCTTTTACTTTCTCTCAGAATTTCAAAGATGAGAAATTATCATTATTATACATGCGAAATTATGTCCTTATCTCTGAAGAACAGTTCCAAAACAAAGGTTTCAACATCGCCACTATCATGAAAATATTTATAGAAAAGTCAAAAGGAGGCAGCCTTACGGCGACGGGAAAGTGACTACAGATAAAATACATTGTTTTTCCTTTTTCATGTATAAAAATGTATGGCTGGTATTTTTACTATTTTCATAGCGTTTTGTTTTAGTTTAATTATTTGCCCCTAACAGGGACCCTAACAGGGACCCTAACAGTTGCTACCATCCAGTTCGGGGTGGGCTTGGGAACAATGCCAAGAGTTATTTCCAGGCTAATCAAACCTTCAGTCTCCGGATATGGAGACTTTGCTACCGGAAGTAGTTCATCGTTACATCCACCGCTAGCTATTAAAGTCAGCTTGTATTGAATATTATGATAAAGAAACACTTATTTCAAGAAACTTGATTAAGTATACATGCAGGGTGCAGCGGACATAGCTCCAACTTATAGCTCCAAGACATACCTGCAGTGTAATGGTAAGATTTTAGCTGCCTGATTACAGTATTGCCACTAATGTTTTAACATTATGGGTGGGGTATTTCTGGGAGATGTATAGAGGAGATATTTCTGACGCACCCAGTATAATAATTATGTATAAAAGCATATCAATTTGTAGGTAGATAACGTTAACTGCGTAATTTGGCGCAGAGGTGAGGGTAATTTCCTTTTTCTTTGAGGTCTTAAAAACACACAGGAAGAATTTACGAAGAAAGGAAAGTGAGAAGAGATCTTGTGTTATTCCTCTCTGTATTCTTCTACTGATGGAGAACTATGCCTAGTCAAATATAGATGCACGATATCAGCGTATGCGGTGATTTTACAAGCTTATTTTGATTATATACACTCAGACTATTACCCTAATATTTATTGTTCCAGTCCTAACGTTGAGCTTCGAGGCCTTCTTCAGGTCGTTGTCGATCGGTGTAACTTCATGGGAAGTTTGAACTGAACACTTCATTTAAATCATTTCGACCTTGATCTGGAATTGTTTGTATATAAATATTAAAACAAATGTTGCAATTTTATTTTCAGTTACTCGGTATCGGGATTGTTTAGCTTATAATAGAATAAGAATAAAATAGCAAAACGTACATTCGACGCATACAAGGGAACATAGACTTAGTATGTTTATCCGGAATACAAAGATGTAACGTAGGCATAGATAATTCCAAGTCAAAGAAAATGTCCAATACAATTCACGCAATACCTACTTTCCGAAGCATTTCAATGGTTTCTTTTTATTAGATGGAAGAAGACTCACAGAGTAAAAGAGGCTTAGTCACAAGGCCAACGTGTAGTGCTTCGTTGCTTCCAAAAGGGTTTAGGGTCAATTACTTTGTGCCTTAGGCAGAAAACGGCTGCAAAGAATTTATCAGAAACAAGTATTCATAGTTGACGCAGCTAGAATGAAGAAGTCGCAATGCGGTACGAGTTTAATTGGAAGAAAGAGCTGCGAAGATATGCATGAATTCCGAAGCTGATTTTACGATGGCGAAGAACTCAAATCGATAGGAAAATTAATGGAAATAATAAAGGCCTAGTGGGTATCGCCATTGACACTTGTCTGTGGTTTATTGTCATATTTTCTGTCATATCATTCGTCTACCGATCGCCATGGAACAAAATGAGACCAGATCTCTGTAATCCTATCAAATACGCATCTGTCTGTATCACGATAAGCAAGGCATTTTTTCATGTCAGACATTCCTAATTGTTTTTCCGTATTTTTTTTCTTTTCATCTGTCATATGCGTTTATGTTTTTGTCTTCAATTTTTTGTCAATATTATAGTTACAAGTACGGTTCGTATCAATCTGTGTCCACGACTTTCC